TTGCAGTGCCGAGTTTTGATTCACTCACCTCTATGTATGGGTCCGAGTGCCAGTGATACTTTCTCAAGTCAATAATAGTCCTCTTTACAACAGCTTCATTCATATATAAATAAAAATGCAGATCTTACCTTTTAGTGTGATAATTGGCTTTGCTGAGTTCTCTGATATTGGGCTTATAGTTTGACACTTTAAGCAGCACACAAGCCTGAGTGTTCAGTCTTTAACCGGCTCCAGGATGGACAAAAAAAGTCTTCATATGAGAAAATATTTGTTCAGAGGTATGTAGATCCAAAGTGAAAATGCCACTTTCTTCAAGCAGTCAAACTTCACAGACAGGGAATTCCAACAGGCGATGATAGAGACCCCATGATCTGTCTTGGGTAGCCTCAAGTGTGTGACGCCTCAAGTGTGTAAACTTTGAGGCCCACAAGTCTGACCTTTGCAATTCAGTTATCTGCATTTTGAAATCCTCAACACCCATCCTCTGAAACACTGTTGAATCCATATCACTGGCAGCAGCGTTGTCTAGTTTGATTAGAATGGAAAACATCAGGCCAAAACGTTGGAAATATTGAAATCTGACAAAATTCTGGTGTGAGTTCTTGCATGTACATTTTAATCTCTGCAACACTGACGGGGCAATGTTGCATTAGTTCTTTAAGATGTTGGAAATAGCAGCAAGTTGAGGTGTCAGTGTCCTGAGGAAAAAATGGCAAGTTTTGCAACAAATGCCTTCCGTGTTTCAAAAAGACCCAGAACACTTTGGCCTGCAGATCGAGATTGAGTTTGTTTAGATGCGCGGTGATGTCAATTAGAAACATTAGTTCTATGAGTCATTTGCCATCATCCCATTTGGGGTAGTTTCAACCTTTTTCTGACAAAAAGATCTTGTTTGTATCAAGACAGTCCACAAAGTGTCAAAACCTTCACACTGTTTAACCAATTAACATTGCTGTGAAGCGGAATGTCCTTGTGTCCACTGTTCGTTTCCTCAAGCAGGGCTTGAAACTGCCCAAGTTTCAAGGCACATTGAGCAACAAGAAAATTCACAATGTTCACCACTGTAGTCATCGCCTTATTAAGCTCAGTTAGAAATCTTGGTGCACAGATTTTCTTGGTAAATACAATGAAAATTTACTGTCAGGTGGCCAATATGTTCCTCAATTATCCTTACAAAATCCCTTCCATTTTCCAACCATAGCAGGGGCTCCATCAGTTGTCATAGAAAATATTTTTGTGATGTCAGTTCTTCTTTCCTCAAAATGATTAACAAACATCTTCACTATATCTTCCTCAGTTGTGCCGTGCATAGATTTTAGGCAGTATAGCTCTTCTCAAACTTTGTCTGAGGCCCAGTATCTCGCAAGAACTGCTAACTGTGGTACATCATTTATGTTCATGCACTCGTCAAGCATAATATTAAATACCACTGCATCTTTTAATGCCACCATCTGTTTAATTTTTTCTGCCATTTCACCTATGTGCCTCGCCACTGAACTGGCAGACAACAGCAAGTCTTTTATTCTGGAGATGATTGGGTCTTTATTGGGCAAGCTATTGAACAAAATATCTGAACAACTGAGAAAAGCCTCTGTATATAATCTGTCTGTAAATGGCCTTCCATGTTTTGCAACACTGTGCAATTTTTGTAACTTCCCTCTGTGGCTTGATTTTTAATGACAGAAAAGTTTTGCTTTTGCTTTTCATACCTCGGGATGGCCTGTTTGACTTAGCCTTGTCTGCCTCATTCTTGACATTTTCAGATAAAGTATGAAAAACTTTTCATTGGACACTTGATGTGCACCAAACAACGCTTTCACAACATAGAGTACAAACAGCACAATCTTTATGTTGAATAAATCCATATTTGTCTGTCCAAGAAGGCTGAAATGAGCAAACATCTAACTTTGCTTTATTAGAAAACTGCCATTAGTTGCTGAGAATCAATTCTTCCTGCTGTCATGATATCTGTAAAAAAAATTTTTTTTTTAAATTTACTATTTTGATAGCATTGCTTTTTCTGTCCCTTCCTCTGGCTTCAGCTGCCTCAGAATAACATGAGGCTAGTGCATGTAGGGAAGCAGGAGACTGTCAAAGAGCAATCATTTTTCCAGTCCGCACTATGCATATGTAATAAGAGTTTTTTCAGGATATGCAATACATGTCCAACCCCCAGCTTAATCATAGAATCATAGAACTGGAAGAGACCTCAGAAGGTCATCAAGTCCAGCCCCCTGCTCTAGGCAGGACCAATTCCAACTAAATCAACCCAGCCAGGGCTTTGTCAAACACCTCTAGGGATGGAGACTCCACTACTTCCCTAGGGAACCCATTCCAGTGCTTCACCACCCTCCTAGTGAAATAGTTTTTCCTAATATCCAACCTGGACCTCTCCCACCACAACTTGAGACCATTGCTCCTTGTTCAACCCCTGATGGCAGCAACTTGCCTACCTGCTACTTCAACATATCCTCCCCCCGGTCCCCAGACCATCTGCCTGCTACTTCAACATTTTTTCCTCCTTCATGGCCTCCCCTGGTCCCCAACCAGACCATGGCTTCAGCATGCTGTGGTGGCAACTCGCCCGGCTGCCATGTGTTCTAGGCCCAAATTGCTGTCTGTTCTCAATGTGGCCTTAGCCTCAGCAACAGCTGGCCTCCAATATGGCACTGGCTGCCCATAGCTTCAACACCCCCTCCCCCATCTGGTATTCAACCCACCTGCCCTCCCTTCCCAACACAACTGCGGGCCACCCCCATCAGCGGGAGTAGCCACAACACTCACCTTCCAGGAGCAGTGGGAAAGTGAGTGCTGCTGTGAAGGTGGGCGGGCTTAGATTTTTTGTGTGTATGCATCTCTGCATAGGTGCATGTTAAATGACGGTGGCACAGGCTCCCAGATGCTGGAGAAGGAAGGGTGGGGCTGAGCTCCTGCATCACATGCCAAGGATAATTCTTGCATGCCACTTGTGGCATACATGCCAGGGGTTGCTGACCCCTGTTATAGGGATACAGTAGGCCCACAGTAGTGTGGATGTAGCCTTGTATAATCTGTTGGTAAATTCATTGGCATCATTACTCTTCAGAGTAAAGGGCTGCCTTGTTAATTTCCTGCCAAACAATCCATTGCATTCTGTTGCTTATTGCCATCTGATACTTGCCTCATTCTCTAGTTACATCCTGGTGCATTAGCAAATGGCTTGGTATTCTTGGTGGTATTGGTCCGTGAGGCTGAAAAAGAACACTGAGCTGTTGCTAATGCAGCAAAAAACTCTTGTTCTGCCTTAGCCAAACTGAACAAATTTAATAGGGCAATATTAATTGGTGGCAGAGTAGGGTAATATATATGGGATGTCAGTTTAATGACAGTCTCTAGAATTTTGCATTCCTCACTAGCTGAGCCCATATCATTCACTCAGCCACTGCCTAGCTGCTTCTGTAATTGCTTATCAGGCAGTGGCTTGTCACATGTGGCCCTTCTGAACACAGTTTGAACTCCTCCACAAGCCACTGTAATAATGTTCTGTGGCTTTGAGGTGTGTGCTAAGCTGCTTAAGCAGGAGTCATGGAATACTAGAACTGGAAGGAACTTGGAGAGGTCATTGAGTCAAGTCCCCTGCCCTCATAGAAGGACCAAACACTGTCTAGATTATCTCTGATAGATGTCTATCCAGCCTGTTCTTAAATATCTCCAGTGATGGAGATACTACAGTGTCCCCAGGCAAATTTTCCAGTGTTTAACCAGCCTGACTGTGAGGGTTTTCTTAATGTCCAACCTAAAACTCCCTTGCTGCAATTTAAACTCATTGTTTCTTGTCCTCTCCTCAGAGGCCAAGAAAAAATTTTCTCCCTCCTCCTTGTAACACACTTTTCGATACTTAAAAACTGCTATTATGTCCCCTCTGTCTTCTCTTTTCTAAATTAAACAAGCTCAATTCTTTCAGTCTTCTCTCATTAGTCATGTTTTCTAGACCTTCAATCATTTTTTGTGGTCTTCTCTGGAGCATGTCCAATTTCTCCGTCTTCCAATTTCTCCGTATGCTTATGAGAAGTGGTCATTTGAGTGGGACTTATTAGTGCAAGTGCATTTGGTTTAGCCTTTGAAGTGACATTTAATATTTTAAGCAAACTGTACTGTAAGCAATGCATCCCAGGCCTTAATGCTAAGCATTACGTTAACTGCCCTTCCTAGCAATGGACCAGTGTTCTCAGTTAATAAAACTGTTCATGTTTTCCATAATTTTACTTGAAGACTCTTTTAATTGATGCAGGTCAGAAATTGACCTTAAACGAGGATTTGGTCCAATACTGTTAAGGAAGCTGTGGTAATGGGTGGAATTCACAGAAAGCTTTCCTTGTGGAGTGAGGAGAGTGCACATGGAATTTCCAAAGATGCTTTTGCAAATTGTGCAAGAGTGACGTGTTCTGACCAGTGCTGCTGGTTCTAAACCTGACCTAGGTCAATACTGATCCCTAACAGCTTCTCTTTGACCTATGTGAAATAGTGAGGAAGGGGCAGCAGTTGTGTCTATTGGTAGCGCTCAGCACAAGTTAAAGTTTGAAAGACTCTCAGACTTTGTTTTCACCTTGCTCTGCTACTACCTGTTTTTTTCTCTGTTTTGTGGATAAAGGCCTTCAGTCTCCAGGGCTGGAAGGTGAGCATTTATCAGTGCCCAGCTCTTCCCTCCAAACTAATGTCTGGGTTCTTGGACAATGGCACTTTAAACAGGAACCGGCTCCATGTGTTTGATACATTAATCCTCTTGCTTGCCTGCAAGTGGACTGTGCTATCTGCCTTGCTTAATTCATAAACCATATTTGAGTCATGTGACTTTGGATGGCTCTACATCTAATTTGAGACCCCATGCCTTCTCTAATGGATATGAACCACCAGATGAATGCATAGTTAAACCCGGACCCATTCAGTTTTCCTCTGCAGCACTCATTAGGGGTGCCTGGCCCGTCTAATGAGATTTACTTTTTGTTCCCAATTGACTGCAGATAAGTGCTGTGCGTTTGCCCCGGGAACCTACTAACCCAGAGAGATTGAAAGGTTTTGGTTATGCCGAGTTTGAAGACCTGGACTCCTTGCTTCGGGCTCTGAGTCTTAACGAAGAGGTAAGTTGAAACCTGTAAAGAAATGGGGTAAAGGCAAGCTTCAGAACTCTTGTTTCCAGACCCCAGATGGCTTCACAGGGATGTTTTGGGGCCTAGTTAACAGAAACTGCACCTTGAAGTGTTCAAAGATCTGCCTAGAACAGATGGTCTAGCCCCCTGTGGTCACCAACCAGTCGATTGTGATCAACTGGTCGATTGTGGGGGCATGGCCAGTTGATCATGAGATGTTCCCAGTCCCCCCCTTGCTTCTCTCTTCTCCCCTCCTGCCCCATTCTCTCTTCTTCCCCTCGCCCCCCCCCCTCCCAAATGAGGAGCCCGCTGGCACTACAGCCCCCGGTGAAAATGGAGCTAGTGCAGGCTTCCTGCTGTTGTGGGGAGGGGAAGAGTAGCATGTGCTTCCTGAGACAGGATTTGGTGCACAGATGTGCCCGGTGCACTCCTGCAGGAAGACAGGTAGGCAGCATGGGGAAGGAAGGGAAGACAAGAGACCTCAGGCACTTCCCCTGCCCACAACAGCGCACATGCTTTCTTGTCTTCCCTTCCTTCCCCGTGCTCTGGGGAATGGGGGGGGGCGGGGCGGGGTTTAAAATGGTGGCGCAGGATCCAGAGGGGCTTTGTCCAGCACTACTCAGAGATCCTCATCCCTGGAGACTCCCAGGTACTAGACAGGCTGTCCCTGGCCAGGCACCCTCTAGCACCCTATCCCCTGGCCAGACGCCGCTTGCTCCTGTTCCCTATTTTCCACCCAGATTCTACACCCCCATCCCTATCCCACTCACTGGCAGCTCTGTCCCACACACTGGATCCGTCATTTTTTGCCTCACCTCAGAACATAGAGAGGGCCCACAAATTTCACTAACCCTGGAACCCAAAAGAGTTAATCTGTCCTGAGGCCTTGAACCTCAGTCCTGCCTACCCTCCCCACCCCCATGGGGCTGGAGTGCCAGGAGAATGAGGTGTCTCAATTGGGGCTACATCAGTGAGGCTTGGGTTTTTTTGGAGAGGTTGTGTCTTTTTTGCATCTCACTTGTGTGGTCCCTGACTGATTCTGTGGGTCAGTGACACCTGACCCAAAACAGGTTCCCTGCCCCTCCCATAAATAAAGACAATGCAGAAACGTGTTTTGTTTTTTTTTTGTTTTTTTTGGACATATTATTTTATTTAAAAATGAAGCCTGGCCAACAAGCCCCCGGTTGGGGCCAAGCCCCAATCTAGCCAAGCATCATAACACTCCTGCACCCCATTCTGGCCCTGAACCCTGAGCCTATCATACACCTGAACCCCTTGCCCTGAGCCCCTCATACACACCAACTCAGACTCCTGCACCCCCCACATTCATAAGCCTGTGGCTTGCTTAGCATCCCAACCCTCCACCTGACCAACACTTTCCAGGTTGGAGCCCCCTCTCTGAGCCAGCATTCCCTTCTCCACCTCCTCCTGCACCCAGATTCCCTCCCAGAGCTTGCACCTCTCACCCCTTCCCACACCCAAATCCCTCATTCCCATCCCAGAACCCGCACATCCTGTCTCAACCCAGTGAGTAAGAGCTGGGGAGCAAATGATGGAGAGGGCGGGGGCTCAAGGGAGTGGGGTCTTAGGGCAAGCCAAGATGTACCCCATTCCTTCCCCGACATTTAAAAAGTGATCTTGGGTGAGTAAAGGTTGTAGACCACTGGTCTAGCCCCACCCGCATCCTCCAGCAAAGCTAACTAATTTGATGTGTGTTTAGTCTCTAGGGAACAGAAGGATACGAGTTGACGTTGCTGATCAAGCTCAGGATAAAGGTGAGAATTGCCTGGGATAGGTAGCAGTTTTCTTCTCTGAAACTGAATTAGTCTTCCTTTGGTCAAATTGCTGACAAATTAGATACCGCACCTGTCCCCTGTTATCATGGCTGAATCTGCCTTAGCTTGGGAGCTCATGAAGAGCTGATGGCTGGCTGGCAGCTGTACCTCCCTCTGACTTAAACACTTCAAAGGCAGCACACCAGTCCTTGTACAACAAGAAGGCTGTTCCAGATTTCATTGCAGGGTCCAGGCTTTTGCACATTTCCTTCATGCTTTGGGAATGTTCAGTGACTGCTAACTATATACCAGCAACAGTAGGGCAGCCCTCCTACCCCACCTCCATGTACTGTCCTTGCCATCATATCTGAATGTGGCTGGGGCTGTCGTCCTTCCAAAGCATCTTAGTGCCATTTACGTGTTAGCTTCCAGACAACATGCTGCACTGTAGAGATGCTGCATTAATCTCAGTGCATTTCAGATCTGTGGATTTCCTCTCTGGTGCTCAGTACTTGGGCATTTGCCACACTCCTTAAAGACTTGACCTTGTAAACATGACTCTGCTGACTAATTCCCTTCCTCCTGCAGACAGGGATGATCGTTCCTTTGGCAGGGATCGTGATCGCAACCGGGACTCGGAGAGATTTGAGACTGACTGGAGGGCTCGGCCTGCTACTGATAGCTTTGATGATTATCCTCCACGCAGGAGTGAAGATAGCTTTGGAGACAGTGAGTTGGCTGAGAGCTCTCCCTCTATGCCCATCACAGTATCTAATCATTAAACATGAACTGTGAAATGTTAGCTCACACCTCCTCTTGGGTTTCTTGTGGGATCTGCTGAGGTGGGGATTTATTGGCTTCCTAGGGTGAATCTGCACTCCCCCAGATTGAGGAGCAAGATCCAATGTCTCTTTCCCCTCCCCCGTGTGCCTGTGTTCTCCTTCCTTTTCTGATGGTGTCTCCTGGAAAACTACATCCTTTGGTATCCTAACATGCTTATTTTGAACGATGCACATAGCGGTCAATTCAGTTACTGGATGAAGGCTGTGGAGCAGGGTAGGCAATACTTTTTTATGTGGGAGAGGGGGAGAGCACTCCAAGAATTTGGTAAGTAGTCAAGGGCTGCATTCTTCCATGACCTTAATGGTGGAGGTGTGGGATCTGAGATGGAGGTTGAGTGCAGAAGGAAGCTTGGGTGAGGGATTTAAGGTGCAAGAGTGGATGTATGCTCTGGGAGGGAGTTTGGGTAAAGGGGGGGGGGTGTGATCTGGGGCAAGGGATTGGAGTACAGGGTCTTGTAGGGGATATGGGTGCAGGAGGACCTGAGGGAGAGGTGTAGGAGAGCGTGTAAGGTCTGGAAGGGGATTGTGACCTGAGGCAGGGAATAGGGTCTGGGCAGGGGGTATGAATGCAGGAGTGGAGGTGTAGAGGATTTGGGTTGCGTGGGGCAAGGGTACAGGAGAGGGGGACATAGGGTTGGGGAGAAGGAGCTGGGGTGCTGGAAGCAGGCTGTGGCCAGGAGGCACGGACCTATGTGGCTACCACCCAGCAGGTCTTTGTCTGTTCAGAGCGGCTGATTGCAGGAGCCATGTGGTTCTCTAAGTGCTGGGGTTGTGGGGAGGCTTTGTGCACTGTCCCCGCTCCCAGCCCAATCTTTCAGCACCCAGACCAGCCAATGGGCACTGCATGATTTTGCTGGTGATGGGGGCAACACACACAGTCCCTACCCTGCTCATTGCGCTCAGAAGTACATGCTCTGCAGCCAGCTGCTGTGAGGGTCAGGCAGAGGTTGGGCAGACAGAGTTGAGGATAATGTGTGTGACACTTCAATACCATGGTGGCAAGTGCCTTAGACAAGCTGATGAAATACATAATTCAGCAAGTGATTGAAGGTGGGAGGAATGAATTGGGCCATGTGTAGAGTCTTTGCCACCTAAGACCTTTGACCTTGAGACAGGTGTCAATTCAGTGTCTTGACTACAAAATTAGGTCAGTGTACAACCACAGCAGTAGTTTAAAAACTGAATTAATGTCCACACTGTGCTCAGTCAGTCAGCAGTGCCAGGTTTCACCAAGCACTGCACTAATTAACTGACATTGTGGGTCACTCTCAGCTGGAGACTACCCCCACCCAAGGCTGATGACTAGAGATCTGCAACAGCCCCCACTCCGTGCCTTACCAGGAGGCAACAATAGCTCAGGCTCTCTTCCCTCCACTCAGTCCCTCACCAGCTGTTAGCCCCAGTCTTGGGCTCTGACTGTCAGCCCCACGAAGCAGCAAGTGATGTGAGCAGCACATTGTCTACATGGACACTGCATTGATCTTAACTCTGTTGGCTAAGTGCTACCTCTCTCAAGGAAGTGGAGTTAAGTCAGTGTAGTGTTGCTGTGAACTGCGTGACAGCAGCTGAACTCTGTAGTGTAGACTAGTGGTTTTCAACCAGGGGTATTGGGGCCCTGTAGCGGCCATGAGCAGATTTCAGGGGGGCTGCCAAGCAGGGCTAGCATTAGACTTGTTGATGCCCAGGACAGAAAGCTGGGACTGAAACCAGTGCCTTGGAGCCCACCACTTGGAACTAAACTGAAGCCTTAAAAATGTAGCTTCATGGGGGCCCCTCTGTGACGTGAGGTCTGAGGCCATTTCCTTGCTTGCTATTCCCTGATGCTGGCCCTGATTGATAGATACAGAAACCCAGTTGTTGCATAGGTGATGGGTCACTGAATTTGTACAGCATGTTGAGGAGGAAAAATTGTAAATCTCCAGCGTAGACCAAGCCTGTGTTCTGGTAATAGTGTATAGTCATCTTCTACTGTATGCCTTGTTTTGTAACCTCTGTGTCCCTCTAGGATATCGTGATCGTGATCGTGATCGTTACGATTCAGACCGGTATCGCGATGGCCCTCGAAGGGATATGGATCGCTTTGGTGGCAGAGATCGTTACGATGACCGTAGTAGAGACTACGATAGAGGAGGTAACATGGCTTGAGAGAGTTTCGTATGATCTAATGGATATAAAACTGCATGTTAATTGGAGTCTGTTTCTGTCCAGAGCTTTTATTAACCATTGACAAACCACTGACATTGTGTAGCTCTCAAATCTGGTGGTGTTCCCCATTCCATAAGGAGGGATGGAGTAGAGTTGCCAATCCTCCCAGTTTTCGACGGGAGTCTCCTGGTATTCCGAAGGCTACTCAAGTCAAATGAGCTCTTAGGCCCCTAAAAGTCAGGTAGTGGAGCAGGTCTAAGGGCTCCCTAGGTCTGCACTGCTCCTGAAAGCACCCAATAAATCCCCGTGGCCACTGTTGGGAAGCTGGAAGGGGTGTTTTGTGGGCTGCCCTCACCAATAAGCACCACCCCTGCAGCTCCCATTGGCTGCAGTTTCTGGCTAATGGAAGCTGCAGAGTTGGTGCTTGGCGCGGGGAGCCAACCTGAAAGCTCTGTGGGGCCAGAGGCCACACCCCAGCCCTGAGTCGCCTTTCTCCATCCTGCATCCCAATTTCCAGTCCAGAGCCCATCTCCTACACCCTAGCCCCTTGTTCTAGTCCAGAACCCTCTCCAAACTCCATGTACCAACCCCCTACCCCGAGCCTGGTGAAAGTGAGTGAGGGTGGGGAGAGCAAGCAACAGGGGGTTGGGGGCAGTGTTCCCTCTAACATTTTCTGTCCTTGAGTGGGTTGAATTTATTTTGGATGGGTTGAAATTTCTTATGTGCAGTACCAATATTGAGGTAGTTTGTGGATGTGCACCACCAACACAAACAAAAACCCTAATATCTATATCTATATCTATATCTATATCTATATCTATATCTATATCTATATCTATATCTAATCTATAAAACCATCCATAGGCGTGAAAGAAAATATATTAAAACAAGGGATAGTTAACATGGAGCAGTGCTTACAATATTTAATATGAAACTAAATAAAAACAAAATTAACACTACTCGTAGAGTACATGTAGCATCATCCTTTCTAACAGCTAAAGCTAGTAAACACACCAAATTGCATATTATCCACACATAGCTCAACTTTAAGATGCTAAACAAATCTGTGTCAGCTAGAAATAGTCATGCTCTCCTTGCAAATACTAATACGGTATTTTCTGACACTGGAAAGGATACTGCTTTAAGTTTCATTTCTGCTTATTTCATTGTGCCCACTGGCCCAACAGATCCAGAGAGGCTTAGTTGGCTGCAGCATCTACAGGTCAACATTTCTCCTCTCTTGCTTTTTCCTATATAGTGAATGCTGCCTAAACCAGAGTGGCCTCCCTCTCCTGCACTTTGAGTGTCAGCAGATGTAATGCTCTGTTGCTCAGGAGTAATCAGTACTGCTTTCCCATTCCTCCTGTAGGCTTCGATTCCAGGGTGGGCAGTGGCCGTAGAGCCTTTGGCAGCGGGTACCGTCGGGACGATGACTACAGAGGGGGTGGTGACCGATATGAAGACCGTTATGATAAGAGGGATGATAGGATGGATAGGTGGAACTCCCGGGACGACTACTCCCGGGATGACGTTCGGCGCGATGATAGAGGTAAAGGCTCTGCTCGTTCTCGGGGTGGGAGATTTGGTAGCCTGCAAATAATGCTCCTCTTCCAGCTGGGTCTCCCTACTCTGAGCAGAGGATTACATGAGGTTTACCCTCAATCACTGTCCACTTCATCTATTGTAGGTCCCACTCAGAGGCCAAAACTGAACCTGAAACCACGGAGCGCCCCCAAGGAGGAAGACTCCTCTGTGGCCCCTGCCACTCAATCCAGCCCTGCAGCCTCTATCTGAGCCTCCCGCAAGGAAGCGTGAAGTGCAAGAGCGGCGACAGAAGGAGCAGGAGAAGCTACAGCGTCAATTGGAGGATGATAAACCAAGGCTAGAAAGGCGGCCCCGAGAGAGGTAGGTGACAGTAGGGCTATGTCTAGACTGCAAGCCTCTTTCGAAAGAGAGCGTCTAGACTGCAGCGGAACTTTCGAAAAAGCAAGCACCCAGTGAGTCTGGATGCTCTCTTTCTAAAAAGCCTGTTTGCTTTCAAGAGCACTTTCGAAGGAAGGCGTTCTTCCTCGTGGAATGAGGTTTACCGCCGTCGAAAGAAAAGCCACGTTCTTTCGATTTAATTTCAAAAGAACGCGGCTGCAGTCTAGACGCAGGGGAAGTTTTTTCAAAAAAACCCTTGAGTCTGGACACAGCTTGGGGGCTGGAATGCTTTCTGCAAGAGCTGCCTGAGGTCTGCACCTGATGGTTGTGTGGTGTGCCGACTGCCCCACTAACTGCTTCCTTATTCTAAATTTGGACATACTGGGCTGTTGAAGCTTAGCGTGCCTGCAAAGCTGTGTACCTGTGATAAAGCATACTGGAGAGGGGAATGTTCTCCTCCATAACACTGCGTCAGTCGGTGGTTTGGAGTAATGTTGAAGGCTGTATGTTCATTGGAATTCCAGGTGACTCCTGTAAATTTAAAAGTGGCCAGCCTTAGTATCTGACACTGAACATGTCCTGTTCGCTAAAGCAGCTGTACATTCCTTACTTATGTTGCCAGAAGATTAGGGACTTGATTTTTTCTCTTGGATACATTTTGAAAAGTAGCAGCCCTGTCCATGGGCCGGGCCCGCCCTGGACAAATCTTTTAATCTCTCTTCGTCATGTTGCCCATCCATCAAATAAGGCAGTCCATTTTGAGATCAGTAGGGGGAAGCGCAAAGCACTTCTACCACCCTTCCCAGCTTTGGGATGCAAGGGGCCCTGTGCCTACTCACTCCTCCAGCCTCACACCAGTTCTTACCATGCATTATGGTTTGATCAGATTTCCACCTTTCTATTGTAGGCATCCCAGCTGGCGTAGCGAAGAGAACCAGGAGCGATCACGTACAGGGAGCGAGTCCTCACAGACTGGGAACACAGGCCCATCAGTGGGAACAGGCCCAACCGGAAGAAGTAAGTTGGAGGACAGCATGGGGTGGCCTGGAGCTAGCCTGCCTTTGTCAACTAGTTTCCCATGCGAGCTGCTTAGCCCCACATCTGCTGAAAGCCTCCTTACATTGTAAGCTGTTTGTGAGGAAAGATCCCTAGCAGGATTCATAGAGTACTAGAACTGGAAGAAACTTTGAGAGGTCATCAAGTCCAGTCCCCTGTCTTCACGGTAGGAGCAAGCACCATCTAGATCAGTGGTTCCCAAACTTTTCGGCATCACGCCTCCTCTTTGATTTTTGAGAAACTCCCCCCCCCCCCCCAAAAAAAAAAAAAAAAAAAAACAAGCAGCAAAACTTGTTGAGCAAAAATTTCTTTATCACGCCGCTTCCCCCCCTCCCCCAGTTTGGGAACCCGTGATCTGGATCATACCTGCTAGATGTTTCTCTAATCTGTTTGTAAATATCTCCAATGGTAAAGATTACACAACCTCCCTAGTCAATTTTATTCCAATGTTTAACCACTCTTGACAGTTAGGAAGTTTTTCCTAATGTCCAACTTAATCCTCTCTTGCTGCAATTTAAGCCCATTGCTTCTTGTCCTTTCATCAGTAGTTAAAGAGAATAGTTTTTCTCTCTCCCCTCCTTGTGACACCTTTTTAGGTACTTAAAAACTATCATATTCCCTTTCAGTCTTCTCTTTTTCCCAAACTAAACAAGCCCAATTCTTTCAGTCTTCCTTCATAGGTCATGTTTTCTAGACCTTTAATCATTTTTGTTGCTCTTCTCTGGACCTTTTCCAATTTCTCCATCTTTCCTGAAATGTGGTGCCCAGAGTTGGCCACAGTACTCCAATTGTGGCCTAATCAGGGCAGAATAGAGTGAAAGAACTACCTCTTGTGCCTTGCTCACAGCACTTCTGAACACTCCATGATTCAGGGGGGTGAGGGGAGGTCTATATGTAGAGGGTGTACATACAGCCTCCAATATCACAATAGAGCCAGTGCCATGCGAGGGCTGGCTTCCTGGCTGCGGTAGCAATCCGGTTTTAGTGGTCACTTGCTACAGCAGAACCACTTCTCAGATAACTCATGGGTAGCATTGGGTCAGATCTGCTGGCCTGATAGGCAAGAGTCCAACAGAGTTAAGAGTCCATCAAGGCTGATGACCCAGGCTACCCAGATCAAAAGAGTTGGAGGGACTGTCTAAATCACCTCCTTTTGGGCTAGGTAAGTTTGGGTAATATCTTGCCCGCCAACTGCCATCTTCTGTCCTTGCAGCCACACGAAGGAGAGAGAGTGAGAAATCCTTGGAAAATGAAACCTTCAGCAAAGAGGACGATACCCCGTCTCCCACTTCCAAGACCCCCAAGGAAGAGAAGCTCCCTCTGAAGGTGATGCCAGCGCCACCGCCAAAGGAGAATGCCTGGGTTAAACGAAGCAGCAACCCCCCTGCTCGCTCCCTGAGCTCTGACACAGAGCAGCACTCTCCCACAAGGTGAGTGTGTCTGTACCAAGCTCCTAGTCCGGATCTGATCTGTCATCCCAAGATGCATGCAAGGGCCTCCAGTTACAGAAGGGAAGTTAAAACTTGTGTAAGGATGAACTACATTCCTGTTCTTCACCAAAACAGTGGCAAATGCAGCATGCACCTTGTGTTTGAGTCTGGTTTGGGGACTTCTGGTTGGCTATTAAATGACCTACAAGAAGTAAATAGCTCTCAGTCAACAGTATCCCAGGTACATGAGAGATAATGCAGGATCCCTTATGTTGACATAATTCTTTCTTCTTCTCCCCTACCAGCAGCAGGCAGACAGCACTGGCCCTGCCGTCAGAGGATCGAATACCACCTAAGAACGCCCCTAGGAAAGGTACAGTCAGTTTCTTGTCACGCACAGAGCGAGAAGTGTTGAGAATCACTTAGCTTCATGCAGATGGAATAATCATTTTGCTCCCTGATATAGCGCCCTTTGTTACATGGCGTTAGCACTGTAGAGTTATGGGATGGTACCAGGTTTGGGAATTGTCTTGTTCATACAGCTTGTTGATCTCAGCAGGACCAATGGGTAAAAAGCTCTATTCGGGTTCATTTAGGGTGTGTCTAGACTACAGGAGTTTTTTGGAAAAAATGGCCTTTTTTAAAAAAAACTTCCCCTGTGTCTAGACTGCTGCTGCATTCTTTCGAAAGTAAGAATGCAGCAGTATTTTTCAACCGTGGAAAACCTCGTTTTATGAGGAATAACACCTTTTTTTGAAAGTGCTCTTTCAAAAAAAGGCGCTATGTAATGCAAACTGTGCTTTTTCGAAAGGGAGCATTCAGACTGCCTGAGTGCTCTCTTTCGAAAAAGTGGCTTGCTTTTTCAAAAGTACTGGTTGAAGTCTAGATGAGATGCTTTTTCAAAAGTGTCTTTCGAAAAAAACTTGCAGTCTCGATATAGCCTGTGTCCTTAATCTGTTCCTGTGCTGGACAGTAGAGGGCAGCAGTCTCCCTTCATTGGGAGCAGCAGATTGTTCCTTCAGATTGTTTTCCTTTTGTAGCTGGATAAACATCTACTATTAAAAGGAGTGTCTGAATTCAAACTGGATTAACTGTCATGTGAAAATGTAACTCCTCAGTCTGTGGAGTTCTCTGTGGTTGGGGAACGCTCACTTACTGTGCTTTCAAAGCCTCGTTCCTCAGTGTTGGCTTAAATGGGTGTTGGGAGAGGGTGGATTAACTTGAATAGTGCTGACTTAATAGCTCAGGAGAACAGAGATGTAAGTTGTCTGCCTGTTGTGCAAGCAGTATCCATTCCAGTGGCCACAGCCTGTATTGGAGGCAGTTGGAAAAAAGTGAGTTTTAGAGCATACGTAAGGAGGTGCATGGGAGCTGGTTCGAGAAATAGCTCCAAAGTAATGTTGTTGACCTCCACTCCTCATAGGGAAGGCATACTCAAAACTGCTTTTCAGATCTCTGAGTTCTAGAAAGAAAACTTCATAAAATGCCAAAGCAAGTCTTGGATGAGCCCTAAAATCCTTAGACTTAATACGGAGGCTGCTTAAATAACTGAGGATCACTGAACAAGAGAGGAAACGGGAAGGCAAGGAAAAACTAGGAGAATGAAAGCCAAAGGGGCCAGGTGAATATCCAGCCCTTTTGGAGCCCATAAGGAGGAGGAGGAGCAGGTAACAAGACAGGCTGGAACGTAGGAAGGTGCAGAGGGACTTAAGACCTTGACTGTAAGTTGTTTGGGGTAGTGTTGGTTCTGTGTGCATCTCAGGCTGTCTAAGGGCTAGTGCACATAGAGGTTTGGGTAGCAGTAGGGAGCACCTGGCAATCTACTGCCCAGCAGGCTAGTGTATCTGTGTGCTGCACTACAGCTATTCAGATACACAGGTCTTAAGTGGTTGGTTGAGATTTTGCTGTATTAGAGAGAAGTTTTCATTCTCCCTTTTTTCTTCAGGAGATGAGAACAAACCAGATGAGGGGAAGGAGAGCCTTCCAAAAGATCAAAGTGGGAGTTCTGGCTGTGGTCCGGGAGACAGAGATCATTGGCAAGATTCAGATAGGTACATCTGTCTATCTCGGGATGTGCATCTTCCCTTTCCCTCCTGCATCAGCGATGGCTGTTTCAGATCTCAGCAACATTCCAGTGTCATGCACAAGCCCCATCTGGCCTCATGAGCAGCAAATGTAGAGTGTTCAGCCTGCAGCACACTGTCAGGCCTTAAATACCTGCAGACTTCAGCGTAGTGACCTGTTACTGCCTCTCTGGCAATTCTGATGCTTTTCATCTGGAGCCAGGAGCACAAAGCACTGGCTGATATAATGGTCTCATGACCCTTGTTCTCCAGTTGGGCATCAGGCAGGTGTAGTCAGTTGCAGTAGAATATGCCAGGTGGTGTTTTAAAACACTGCAGCATGTGACCTGAACGTGATTTTAGTTCTCATTAACTGTAAAGTGCTGACTTTGTGCCTGTATCCGAAGACTAAGATCAAGCCCAGTAAGTCTACCCCTGCATTCCCTAGACACCTTGTCTGGCTCTCCCCACTATCCTTGCCCCTGACCGAGGCCAGTTACCCCTCCCTTCACTTAAGTCCTTGAGTTCCTACTAAAGCATTCATACAGGTGGCTGTTATGTGAAAGGGCTGAGTCGTGCCCTTGGGATGGGACAGTACTCCCTCCAACCACCAACAGCTAATCATCTAGCAGTGGTCACTACAAGAGCTATGCAGCCTCCTTCACTACCAGAAGTAGGCACATGCAGCCTAATTCCCCTGTAGAAGATCTGTAAAGTCCAGTGTCCCTTCTTAATTGGGAGTGCCACATGCTGTGTCAGGTCAGCAGTAAGCACTGAGCTGTGAAACATGAACAGCTGGCCTGTAGGTTTCATGTGAAGTTGGCCATTTTCTCTTCTCTTTGCTTGGAACTCCTTTCAAATCCAGTGGGCAACTATTGTGGGCACAGCTGTAGCCTGGTTGCCGCCCACAGACTCCATTGGCAGCAGCTCCAGCTACATTGAACTCATGTTCAACTAAACAATCTGACTCTTGCAGGAAAGAAAGCAAGAAGGATCATGACTCGCAATCTATGTCTGAGCCAAAGAAACCTGACGAGAATACAGCTTCTGTAAGCATTTAATCTGCTAGCTGCCACTTGAAGCGCAGAGCAGCAAGTGGAAACAGGAGGGCTGGTCTTGCAGTTAAAGATGCTGAACTGAGACTTCAGAAACCTGGGTTCATTTCCAAACTGTGGAGTTCCTGAGTGCAGTCTGCTTTTCATGTTCTCTCTTTCCTGACTGTAAAATGAGGCTATTCCATCTCTGCCTCTCATGTGGGAAGATAAACACATTGGGAAGCATTTGGATACTATGATGAGGGGCATGGGGGGGCATACTTACCTAGATTTAAAATCCTTTTGTAAGTAGTGGGAACTGAATGCATTTCTCCTATAAAATGCATTATCTAGACTGAAGTGTCAGTCTGGACTCCTCGTTGTAGAAATGCTGCAGAGTAGTTGCGGTGTTACTTCATTCTCTGTTTAACCTGTTGTATTTCTTGCAGAAGTTCAGCTATGTTAGCAAGTATGCTGCTCTGGCAGTGGATGGTGAAGATGAAGTGGAGGAAGACAATTACACTGATTAAAATCTCCAGATCCTGTGCTGTCTCCTAGCCTATCGCCACTCGGGAACATAGGAAAAGCAAACCAAACCAGACGAGACAGAAATAAAACCTAAAACTCAACATCTCCTGGAGACCTTTCTTAAACTTAAAAAAAAAAAAAAAATCTCTTGCATGCTGCTGCAGCCTTTCAAGTATTGAACTAACTGGAGAATCTCTGCAAAGTGTAGCGAGAGAGAAGTGCAAGTTTTAAGAGAAAAAAGGGTGACTCAGTGTGGCTTCTGGTGTGATTAGGAGACAGGGCCTATGCTCTAGAGTGGACATTTAACACGTTAGCCAGCTGGGTGTCTTGGAGAAGCCTGAGCATGTTGGGCAGTAGGACAGCTAATTAAGGAAGAACTGGCTTTTCTCCTTTTTCTTGCTAGCCTAAATGGATGAATTCTACAATGTTACCTTAATAAATGATCACCTTGAAGGTAGGGTGTCTGGTCCATGAGGTTATTCTAGCTTCCTTCCTTTCTTAAGCTGCCAGCTCTCCTTCCTTTGCAAAGTCCAGTGCAATAGAAAGCATTACTCAGTGCACGCGGGATGGAGAAGAGTCTTACTCTCCTAACAGTGAAGGACGGGATGAGATGTTTAAGGGGAGGTGGTGTTCAACTGTGCCCATCTCTGGGAAATGAAAACCCAGAATACACACAAGCTTTGAATCCTGGCACTCTTCTCTGAAAGTGATGGACTAGGGCAGGCCAGTTTAGCACGAAAGAACAAGCAGGCTTGCCAGTGAATACAAGCACCACCCCCTGGGCAGTGGAGAATACCAGACCTCTGTCAGTTGGAAAAGAGCTAGGCATGCTAGTGGGGTTCTGAAAGTCCTGCCTGTGGAGGCACAAATACTCAACTCCTCCCTCCTCTGAGCCCTGCTGGGGCTGACCAATCACATCTCCCTTAAAATCTCTTCATCCCTCCTTAGCTACCTTCTCCCCACCTCTTTAATCACCTGGTGTTACCTCCTCCCCCCACTTTTAAATAGCCACCCCCTCCTTGACTGAGAGCTCCCTCTTCAGATTGGACATGTAGAGCAATCAAGATGCTCAGGAGGACATGCAAAATAGTCTCATGGCTGTCTGAGTGCAGGGAGCAGGCCGCATTTCTGTGCTTCTAGAATGTGTTCCTGCCCTTTGTCCTCTGCTTGGACAAGCAGGCAGACAGTACTGGTAGCATAGATCCTTGTGCAGGAAATACCTGACCCAAACTTCCACTGAGGAGAGATTCTCCAGTCCCTAAATATCCACTGGCCTGAAACTTGCAAGGTGTTAGTCAAATTTTAAAATTTTAACCATTTTAATGCACCCTCACTAGATTTCCTGAGCTGATGGCAGAGTTGTGATTTCATGGCATTGTCTAGCCAGTAGGAGGGTTTCACTGCCTTCTAAAGAATCTGGTTCTCAAAAAGAATCTGTTAATGGTGTAGCATAAGTGGATTACAAGACTACAGACAGCACTCACTTAACTTATAAGGTGTGTGCACCCATTCAGCATTCATCATCTTTTTTCCTTATTTGGGGGTAGAATTGCCCAAATGCTCATGACTTGGAACTGTTTCTCTTCGGTCAAACCCAGCAAAGCACAGCTCTCTGCATCATGCACTGGATTTGATGCATTGTTGTACAACTGCAGGTGGTTGGTTATTTCAGTGACTTTTAAGCTAGTTTTTTTAAAAATGAAATCTGAGGTGTCAGCACATACTGTGGGCAGGACAACAGGCCCGTGCTTCAACAAGTATGGCAGGAACAGCAGAGCTGGATTTCAAACACAGTATTGCATAGGTCTAGATAACACAGGGGCTGTACCTGAGAGAACGATCACTAAATTGCATCTGAATAAAGCATTCTCTCTCTCCACCCCCACTGCTGTTGGGACAGGGTCACGCTGATTGAGTTGCGTTTTACACATTCTGAAGACATGTAAAATTTGTACAAAAATATCTTCTATGAAAATGATTTGTAATCTGTAGTGGACTTCCTGGGAGATGTCTTTTATTATGTAAAATCCCCTTTTTTGGTTTTTGTTTTGTTTTGGTTTTTTGTTTCCTCCAAATAAAACTAATCTTTAAAACAGCCACTAATGGCCAAATCGTTTGCAAGTCTCACATTTCTCCATTTGCAGTTAGAGCCTGCAATCCTGCCCTCTGAGCTCTTCCCTTGGTACCATCTCTTCAAAACAGACTGGATGGTTCTGAAACATTCTCTGTGGAAACATCCACACCAGCTTCTAGTCTTCACTAACGAAAATTTCTTCAGGACCAGCAGAGCAGGAATCTTGCCTGGTTTGGTGTAAGAAGAGTAGGGGGTGTCTGCATTAGTCTCCCTCTTAATTTGTTACTCTGGCTGTATAAAATCACGGCTGCCTTGGTCATCTTGTGCTAATGTTTGGAAGCCACAAGAGGGAGGCCTTTGCCATCTTTGCTCAAATTCCTTACAGGGGTCTTGGATTGTTCCCAAAGAAACTGTGAGGCCTCTTGCTGATGGCACTATCCCTTTCTCACTTGAACTTGCTGCTTTACAATGAAGAGGAAGATATGGTATAAGACCAGTGTGGAATTCAAGTTTCCCTGATTTGAGATCAATCACTTGCTTTGCACAACAAGAGCCAGAGGGTGAAACTCTGAGTCAGCTGGAACTGTTAGCATGGAAGGCCCTTGCAGGCCAGGCTTTGTATTCAATGCTGCCCCAGGGCTGACAGTGGGTGTGTTGACAGTCTGATCTGGATTGCATAATTTGGGTTATGCTCAAGGAGGCACGGAATCCAGTTTGTGTTCTTGCTCTGTTTGGTTGTGCAAGACACAAGTGGTAAAACTCAGTGGCCATTGTAGTCCGAAGCCAAGCCAAAGCTGAACGTGATGTCATATTTATGTAAGAGCAGACTCCCCTCCCATCTGCAGTGATGGAACCAAACCTGCTTTTGAGGAAGTTTCATCTATCTATCTTCACTCCTCCCTCACTAAGGCCTGGCTTCTGTGCTGGTGCCACTGCCCAGAGCTATCAGACAGTCCTTGATCCTTTTCATCCGCAGTGATGTGCTGCTGCTGGAGGCAGTCGAAGGGCTTGGCATTTGGTGGGTGTTCCCCTGAGCATACTGCTGGTCTACTTCACTCAAGGGTCCAAGAATGCTCCAGGGCCTACTTCCCACAAGGCACTCTGCCCTGGTGGATCGTGTTTGGCTCGTATCTCTAAGATTTCATTGGTCTTTGGTCCTTTCTTGATTTCTTCTCCCCCCCACCCCCCTTCCTTGAGGCTAGCATTTGGGAGTTAGTGGGTGCAAACCCCTTGGGTCAAATCCCCAGCCTTGTTTGTGTCAGCTAATCCCCCTGGCAGCTGAATTGAGGGTGGGCATTGTAGGGGGAGGGTCTGCCCAGGTGTTGCCTCTTGGTTTGCCTGCATATGTGCCTCCAAAGGGAGGCAGTGTTCTCCGTTCAGTCCCTTTTGCCTTCCCATGTCTGTTCTGCACTATTCACAGGTGTGTCAAAGCTATTCATGACCCCCAAAGTCAGCTTTTGCTACTCTCGCATGCTGGCTTCAGCAAACTTTGTCCTGGGCCTGTAAAGTCCCAAGGTCAAAGCAGCCAGCTGCACATTTCAAGATGTTCTGAGCCGCTACAAATCCCATAGCCATTAGTGGGAGCTCAACACCTTTAGACATCAGCATGGTTTTATTTAGGTGCTTCAATAAATCTTGCATTAGTCACACCTTCCCCAACTGACGCTTTCCCTGCACAGTTGCCTGGATTTATCTAAAGCCAGGGTCTCAGTGGGCTAACCCAGTTAAGGCACATCCATTTCATAGCCAAGGGTTCACAAAAGAGCCATGTGGCCATTGCTAAAACAATTTAAACTGCAGCTATCCTTCAGTGTTTCAAAATTGATCCACAGCTGGCTGGCCGACAGCGGTTCGGTTGGAGTCAGTCATCTCTGAACTGCCCTGAGCTCGTGCAAATCAGATATAAATAGCGAAGCCTTGTCCAGTAAAGAATTGACTAAGGGCTGCTCCATGATAGAAAATTCGAGCAACCCAACTGCATTCAGCGTGGGCATGAAAAATCCACAGCCCTGAGCAGCAGAGTTAAGCTGACATACTGAACTGCTACAGCTCCTCTTTGAATGGGCCAACAAGCAACCACCAGTGGGGTTTTGCATCTGTAACTGGTGTGGCTTAGTTGCCGCATTGGAGCAAATGAACAAAGTCCTCCAGGCTAGACATTAGCTGCTCATGCTTCTAGAAAGGTCTAGAGAAAATGAGCCATGAGGGAAGACTGAAAGAATTGGGTTTGTTTAGTTTGGAAAGGAGGAGACTGAGGGGGGACATGATAGAGATTTTCAAGTATCTAAAAGGGTGTCACGAGGAGGACGAAAAAATGTTCTCCTTGGCCTCCGCTGATAGGACAAGAGGCAATGGGCTTAAACTGCAGCAAGGGACGTTTAGGTTGGACATTAGGAAAAACTTCCTATCTGTCGGTGGAATAAATTCACTGGAGATATTCAAGAACAAGTTGGATAGACGTTATCAGGAAAGATCTAGATGTTGCTTGGTCCTGCCGAGTGCACAGGAGACTTGCCTTGATGACCTGTCTGTTCTAGTATTCTGTGATCCTAGATGCCCAGGCTCTAGTCCTTGCAGACACTTCTGCCCTGCAGTGTTACAGGCACTGGAACAGAGATGAATTATGCTTGTGTTAGCAGCAAAAAGAGTGAGCCAGGGGTTATGCCCTTAACCAAGGCCACCTTTGCTGCTCTCCCCCATGCTGCTCGTGTGTGACCTTGGGCAAATCACTAAAAGCCCCTAAACTCAGTGGGAGAATTGGAGCGCAAAGACCAGTTTTCAATGGAATTTGGGAACCCACTGGGCTATTCAAAAGCACTCCTGGAACTTGGGCTTTGGGAAATCTGCTAGGTGTCTAATCTCTTTTAAATCTGGTCCCTAGGTTGTTTCTGGGGCTAGTCAGATATGCAAGATATTTCACTTCTGCCTGCCCCTAGTGCAAAGATGTCTCTGCCTAGTGACCTCTTCCAGCCTTTGACAACCCATGCTCTTCCTTCTAGGCCTGCCTGCCCCTCTCTCTCTCTCTCTCTCTCTCTCTCTCTCTCTGTGTGTGCAGATTAGCCATAGGCATGCCCCAATCCCCTGGCATCTCCCTGGAGTGAAAATAGGCTCTCTTCCCCCAGGGATGCCTGAACAATTTACGTCTTCCTGTTAATTTCCTTCTGAAGTCTCTGCAAGCTTCTCATTCATATTGGACTCTATGCAAATGGGTTTCTACAGTGAGATGCATGCTACAGAATTTAGCAGTGTTCTTGCAATGTATTGGTCCCAGGATATGAGAGACAAGGTGAGTACCCATCTGCCAGTGGGCACCAAGAGGACCTTGGATCTGTTTCCCCATCTGTAAAGCAGGGAAAATAGCACTGCCTTCCCTTGTAGTCATCTCATGAAGGACAGAGGGCAGGGTGCTCAGATTTTAATGGAGGGCCATATAATTTGCTTACAGGGTATGTTTACATGGGTATAAAAAAACCACAATTGACCTGGGCCAGCTGCTTTATAAGGCTCAGGCTGTGGGGTGAAAAACTGCAGCACAGCCATTCAGTCTTGGGCTGGGAATTAACCTCTGCTAGGACGGAGGATCCCATAACCAAACATCTACACGGAAATGTTTAACCCATGAGGGAGCTGACTCAGGCTAGCTGCCAAGCTGTGTAGACGTACCCACGCTCAGCCGTCCCTTGCATTTGAGCATCTGGTGCTGCAAGCTGTCAGCACAGTCTGGCTCTTGCGTGATGCTCACAAAACCCCAAGTTCTTTGCAGGCTATCCGAGGTCCTGAGGCTGGGAACAGGATGTTTGCTCCCGGTGCTGCCTCCTGTACATTTGTGGAGGAAGCTGGAACTGGTACCTTGGGTTTTTTTTGGCTTCCTAACTGCACTGGGCTGAGAACATGCTCGGTCTTGTCTACTTTTTAAATTATTTTTTAACAATCTTGGGGCCTGATTTTGTTCTGTGTCTTGCAAGAAAAGGCAGCCCAACTTCTGCCTTTGCTTGCACAGATTCCTGTGTACAATTCCCAAGCTTGGATGGCTTTTGTGTTACTGTGGTCATGTTTAGTTCCATGCTAACATTGCTACCTGCCCCAAGGTAACAATCAGTCTTGGTGCAGGGGCAGCACACTTAGAATCATAGAATACTAGGACTGGAAGGGACCTCAAGAGGTCATCGAGTCCAGTCCCCTGCCCTCATGGCAGGACCAAATACTGTCTAGACCATCCCTGATAGACATTTATCTAACCTACTCTTAACTATCTCCACAGATGGAGATTCCACAACCTCCTGGGGCAATTTATTCCAGTGTCTGACTACCCTGACAGTTAGGAACTTTTTCCTAATGTCCAACCTAAACCTCCCTTGCTGCAGTTTAAGCCCATTGCTTCTTGTTCTATCCCCAGAGGCCAAGATGAACAAGTTTTTTCCCTCCCCCTTATGACACCCTTTTAGATACCTGAAAACTGCTATCATGTTCCCTCTCTAAACCCTTTTCTAAACTAAACAAACCCAATTCTTTCCGCCTTCCTTCATAGGTCATGTTCTCTAGACCTTTAATTATTCTCGTTGCTCTTCTCTGTACCCTTTCCAATTTCTCCACATCTTTCTTGAAATGTGGTGCCCAGAACTGGACACGATACTCCAACTGAGGCCTAACCAGCACTGAGTAGAGCGGAAGAATGACTTCTTGTGTCTTGCTCTCAACACAGACCGAGAGGGGACATAATAGCGGTTTTCAGGTATCTAAAAGGGTGTCACAAGGAAAAGGGAGAAAAATTGTTCTCCTTGGCCTCTCAGGATAGGACAAGAAGAAATGGGCTTAAATTGCAGCAAGGGAGGTTTAGGTTGGATAGTAGGAAAAACTTCCTGTCAGGGTGGTAAAAGACCGGGATAAATTGCCTAGGGAGGTTGTGGAATCTCTGTGGCTGGAGATATTTAAGAGCAGGTTGGACAGACACCCGTCAGGGATGATCTTGATGGTGCTTGGTCCTGCCTTGAGTGCAGCGGACTGGATCTGATGACCTCTCGAGGT